GCATGCCCCGTGAGGCCCTGCGCCGTCCGCGCCGGGGAGGCGGGGGCCGCGAAGTGAGGGCGCATGCTCGGCGGCCCCCCTTCCCCAGAGCTTGGGCGCAGAGGGGCCAGGGCTTTGTCTGCCGCTGGTGGGCCACGGTGTGGGGTGCAGGTCTGCCAACTGCGGGGATCAGATGCAAAGCATCTTCGAGTCAGCGGGCTTCTGCTGCTACTGTGGCAGTGAAGGTGGTGGCCACCTCCACTTAGGTTCCTGCAGGGCACTGCAGAGCTGACTGAGCCCGGGGTCTGCGCCGTCTCTGCCAAAACTTTCTGCAAGTTTGCAGTGGGCCAGGTTTTGGGAGAAGGAGTCTTCACCAGCTTCTCAGATAACCCCAGAAGTGAGATGGAACTTCCCTCTCGGGGTTTAGAGTGACTCTCTGGGGAGGATCTTGTCTCCCCATGCGCGCATGCTCTGGAGGCTGGTGCTGGTTGACCGGAGCAGCGTGCTTCCGCAGGAGACGGCCTGCCTTCTGGTTAGAAATGGGGCTTTCGCGGCCACCTCGCAGATGAGGGAGGTGTAGGGTGTGAGGACCTTGGGGATTGTACCTGCGCAGTTGCTTTCTCATTGCCCTCCCCGAGGAAGGACTAACACCAGAAGGTGGAGGGGAGCCCATGTCAGAAGGTCTTGCCCAGGTAGGGCCCTGTGCTGGCCAGGTGCCAAGACAGTGCCAGGTTATTGAGAAATGGGAACATAGGAGCTGCGTTTCTTCGGCAGGTCTAATCCAGATTCAGGCCCATCAATCACTGCGTTAGGACAAAAACTTAAGAGGCAAGGCTGGGCAAGCTTCGGCTCATGTGTTCTGAGTGCATTAGTAAAAGAAAAGCAAGGTTGTGTTCAAACATCTACATCTGCAGTGTCAGCTGCGTGGCTCCAGTTAACTGTTGGAGCAGTGAGTTTGGGGATCAGGGAATAAAAGATTTCTTACCCCCCCCCCCATTCATCCAAGGTGCTGAGCAAGCGTTGGAGGGCCACCAAGTTTCCCACCGGCTCACTCCTGCAGCCACCAGCGCTGTGTGAAGCTGGTTTGTCTTGTGGAAACAGCACATTTTACAAGTCTGGGTGGAGATGCTTTAGCAGTTTACACTTGTTTTCTGTTTGCATCTATTTTTTTATTTTTTCGGAACCGGGGATTGAACTCAGGTCCTTGTGTTTGCCAGTCAAGCGCTTATCCTACTGAGCCATCTCCCCGGCCCCTGCATCTATTTTTTAAAAAATGTTTTTCTATACATACATGCCATGATGTATATATAATGTATCTAGCTGTTTATTTCTAACCCTTAAGGAAGGACTGTTGAGCAGATTCCTGGGAGCTGATAGGATGAGAGGCAGAAACAGAAGACCGCAAGGGCTCAACAAATGATGCTGTTTTATTCTTCGGTAGAAAGAGCACACCCAAGTTTCAGTTCTCGTTTGTTTCTGTTAGGTTTGGTCCAGGTTCTGGGCCGGCCCTGGCCCTCAAGCCCGTATTTCCCTCTTGATAGGCCTAGGCTGACCTTCTGCTTCTAGTCCTGGGTTGCCATCCTGCCGAGTGTCTCCGGTCCTAGGTCCTTGTCTCCCTCTGCTGGGCAGTGCTGAGGACCTGTGCTATCACAGGCCACCCAGAACTGCTGGCTTGACCCTGAAGGAGCTTTCTGCAAGCCTTCCCGATGGGCCTCTCCTCCAACCTACAGGTGCCGTGACGTGGGAATGAAGACTTGTACGCTTGGGCAAAACTGCCTTAGTGGGCCTGGGAGATGGCTCAGTAAAATAAGCTCTTGCCTGGCAAGCGCAAGTGCCTCAGTTCAATCCCCAGTTCCACCAAAAAACCCCACCAAAACTGCCTTAGTTAAAAGATGGTTATTTCTACAAAATGGTCTCAGGATTTCAGTCTCAGAAAATGCTCACTCTCTGAGGCCCTGAGGTTGGTGTGTGGTGGTCAGATGAACATTTTATCCTCCTAGGGTTGGTTCAGTCCTGAGTGCTATGAACCTCAGCCTTGTAGAGCAAGTAGAGCAGGCCGCCTTGGCTGAGTCCTCAGGAACAGGTGAGTGTTGCAGGTGTCCAGGTCTCTGTAGTGTCTATACCTAGCCTGGCGTTGCTGAGATTCTGTAGATCCGAGACACATCTGGCCAATGTGGAAGGACCAAACCCAGCTGAAAGCTGAGCTCGAGTGTTTTAGCTGTGTAACCACCTATTAGTTTCTGTTGCTGCTTGTGTCTGGGGGTCTTCCCTCCCTGCATGCATGTTCAAAGATTGCCTCCATGTCAAAGACATGCCTTTGGCACTTGGGCAATAATTCGAAAATCACTTGGGCCCAAAATTCAGTTTTGTTGATTGAGAAGCTCAGCGCCTTTTTCTACCAAGGCCCTTTTTCTGGGCCCAGGTCACCTTGGTGACCAGTTGTTGGGAGGCAGCAAGGTGAGATGACTTTCTTTGTCCTGCTAGGGCATTGTGTTTTAGGTTCATCTGCTACCTGGCCCTTTATTTATTTATTTATTTTTGTGGTACTGGGGATTGAACTCAGGCCCCTGCCCTTGCCAGGCAAGTGCTTATTTTACTGAGCTATCTCCCTGGGCCCCTACCAGGCCCTTTAGACAGGAACAGAATTGCCATCACCAAGTTCACCCACGAAACTGTCTTCTGACCATAGGTGGAGCCTGGCTTCAGTTCCAGAGGGTCAGGCAATATTCTGGTTCCTGGATTTGGGGTACTGGAGCTGCAACTGAGGGCTCGAGTCCGCCTCAGCTCACCAAGAGTGACCTAGCTGTGAGTTAAGTAATGTTGTACTGGAGCCAGGGAGATAGCTCAGAGGCCCAAACTTCTACCTGGCAAGCACGAGGACCTGAGTTCAATCCCCAGCCCCGCATGCCACGTGGTCTTGGCCTTGGATGTGGGTGCCCACTGTGTGGCCCTGGAACCGGGTGTGGTGGTGCAAGCCTGTAATCCCAGCACTTGGGGAAGGTTGAGACAGGAGGATCTCTTCAAGTTCAAGACCAGCCTGGGGGGCTAGAAAAGTGAGCACAAGGCCAGCCTGAGCTGCATTGTGAGATCCTGGCTCAAAAAAAAGCCTTGTTGGAAGTAACATTTTCATTTTTTTTTCTTTTGCGGTACTGGGGATTGAACTTAGGACCCTGCGCCTATCTCCCTGGCCCCAGGGAGGAACACTTTCTTAGTTTTTTAGCCTTTTATTCCATGTAAGCTGGAGTGGAGAATTGAGTTAGAGCAATGATGGTGAACCTTGTGGAGCTTCCAGTGATGTGGTTCCCGGTGACCCTCATGCCATAGGTTCACCATCACTGCTGTCCACGGGGAGCTGAAGGGACGTGGCTCATAACAAGCACTTGTGTAGAACAGTGAAGAAGTAGTTCCTTGGTCCCATGCAGGAGGACAGACACAGGGCCTGAGACATAAAAATTTGAGTCAAGGTGACAAGTGCCTGTGGGGGGAAGACAGCTGGCCCCACTGGAGTGGACCAAGCAGAAAGCGTGGGCTGGGTTTCAGTGCTCAGCCGGCGTGAAGGCTTCATGAGCCCTTAACCAGTACTCAGGTCACTCAGGAATCCTCTGCCCAAGCTGATGGCGGCAGGTTCTGGCTGTCTGGATGCAGCCTGGGCCCCCTGGCCTGATGGAGCTAAGGGCTCGGGGGATCCGCAGCTCCCAAGAAGTTTCACTCAGTGCTGGGCTGGTTTCACCTTTGTGGCAAATGCTGAGCGTGGGTCCCTTGAACTTCTGCCTGCCTGGGGACTGCCTGCCCTGGGGTGATGGTCATTCTGGCACCCTCTTCCAACTTTGTCCCCTGGCACCTGCCTCCTGTCTCTGCTGCTCCTACTGCGCTGACCTGAAGATAGCAGTGCCAGTGAGTGGCTTGATTGGGGCTCCAGGGCCTCTTGCGTGGGGCACACAACCGGATGTGACGTTCTAGCCACGCCTCCCTTTGCATTAGGAAGGGAAGATGGTTAGCAGGGGAAACTAGGCTCCCATTCAAGTAACTTGAGTTGGGGGGCTCCCTTGCCAGAGCAAGAGTTGTGAATAATTTAGCGGCTGAGGCGGCTGCAGTCCTGAGCTGCAGCCTCTTGCCATTTCAAGTATGGCAGAGTGTGGCGGGACCCACATGTGGGGCCAGGTTCTCTAAGAAATGCCTTGATGCATTCATTGTGAACACAGTGCCAGGGCACCCAGCCTGGCAGGCACCACACCTCACCGTCAGAGAGGAGTGACTGCAGGTGGAACTGCTGATGTTACCTCAGGCTCCCAGGAATGATGGCATAGAGAGCGTAAAGGGCGCAAGTGAAAGCTACACTTCTCTCATGGGGTGGAGCAGAGCCTCGGGTCTGCCAAGTTGATTTCATCGTTTTTGGGGCCGGGGATCAAACCCGTAGTCTCCCAGGCAGGTGCTACTGAGCTGTATCCCAGGCCTGTTAAAAAATCTGTTTTGATGCTGATGGGGCAGAGCACTGGGAATACTGAATGCCACAGATTTTTTCAGGGACAGTAGAAGGTGAGTGGCCCTGTCACTTTTTTTTTTCTTTTGGTGGAACCGGGGATTGAACTCAGGCCCTTGCATGTGCCAGGGAAGCGCTTATTCTACTGAGCCATCACCCCCCCCACCCCCCCGGGGGGGGCAAGTTTGGGGTGACCCACTTGAGCCTGCAGATTAGGGAGAGATTGGGGAGAACCGCTGACTTGTGTGCTTTGCCCCTAGGATTCCCTACTAAGAATTATTTTTACTGGGTGCGGCAGTGCATCCTTCTGATCCCAGCTACTCAGGAGGCTGAGATGGAAGGATTGCAAGTTTGAGGACAGCCTGGATAACTTAGCAATACCTTATCTTAAAATTTATAAAAGGCGGGCCGGCCAGATAGCTCAGCAGATTAAAGCACCTATTTAGGCAGCTGCAGAGGTTGCAGGTTGGATCCCCAGTGCGTTGTGCTGGCCCTGCACCCCCCGGGGTGTGCTGAGATGACAGTTGAGGCTGGGCGTAGTGGTGCATGCCTGTTATCCCAGCGCTTGAAACAGGAGGATCACTACAAGTCTGATCTGTGTAGTGAGACCCTGTACTAGGGGAATAAGATTTTTTTTTTTTTTTTTTT